GCTTGCCCTGCCAGTCATTGGTGAGGTATGTGTTTTTTTTTTTTTTTTGTAATTGGAGTACTCCAGTAGATAAAAAGAGCCAGCTGTGTGTGCAGGCAAGTGGCTCTACACTTTTTTGTAAAACTGGAATGTATCAGTAAAACTTACATGGATATCTGGCTTGGATTTATTTTTATTTCTAGGTTTGTTATGATGTACAAACATATCAATATACTGCCTCAGGAAACAAATGTACTAATTAAATAAAATAAATGAAACCATTGGATTTAACGTTACTAAGAATTAATTTAAGACAGAATTTCTCATAGCTTTAGTTCTAGTAACAATCTTATCTGGTTAGAACACTAGAGCTCATATAATAGATGAAAATGATGAGTTGGCTGATATGTCTATTGCAACAAAACTTGCTTTTATAGATATATTGATAAAACGGGTTAATAGCAGTAGACAGAACCAGAACTCTAGAGCAGGCAGCAATTATTACCAGTTTCCAGTGCTCCTGAGGACTGACTGAAGGTAAAAGCAATTTCCTCTTCTCCACTGCTGAGATTGGACAGATCTAAGCAACGTCTTGGTGTATCCCTGCAAATTGTGAATATGTAGATGTAGGTGAATATCCCTTCAAATTGTGAATATATAGACACACGTATCAGCATTACATCATTAAAATTCACACAAATTAGCATTACACTTTTGAAATAAAAGGTTCAGTTATGTTAGGATGAAAACCTACACAGTCCTATACACCAACTGCCAGATTATATTTGTCAACTATTCCCCACCTTTTAGTACATCCCTGAAAGATAATATCTAGCCTAGCATGCCACTCAAGTGAGAAGATTGCTATTGATTGGATCAAGGCCAAATTAGTCAAGTCTCATTGAAACCAGTGTAAAAAGTCAGAAAATGGCTAAGTTTATCCATACAGTAGACTAAAGCTTCTGGCTCCCATGTCAGAACCCCAAAATGGAATTTTTAAAAAATGTCCCTCTCCATGTGCAATTCAAAGCTGCAATCTATTATTTTTACCATTTACTTCTAGTTAAACAGAAGATATGGGAAAAGTCACCCTCTCTTGGGTTTGCTTAACTTTCAGAGCAAGATTATACAGTGGTGCCTCGGGTCACGAACGCTTCTGTTCACAACCAATTCAGGTCATGAACAGCTCCGGTCGCAAAATTTTGCCTCCGCGAACGCCGGATCGGGTCACGAACAGGATCCGTGGCCATTTTCCCTCCCGTGACACGGTCCGTGGCCATTTTTCTGCCCCTGACACGTGGTCCGCGGCCATTTTCCGCCCCCGACACGTGGTCCGCGGCCATTTTTCCGCCCCTGACACGTGGTCCGCGGCCATTTTTCCGCGCCTGACACGTGGTCCGCGGCCATTTTTCCGCCCCTGACACATGGTCCCCGGCCATTTTTCCGCCCCTGACACGTGGTCCCCGGCCATTTTTCCGCCCCTGACACGTGGTCCGCGGCCCTTTTTCCGCCCCTGACCCATGGTCCCCGGCCATTTTTCCGCCCCTGACACGTGGTCCGCGGCCCTTTTTCCGCCCCTGACCCATGGTCCCCGGCCATTTTTCCGCCCCTGACACGTGGTCCGCGGCCCTTTTTCCGCCCCTGACCCATGGTCCCCGGCCATTTTTCCGCCCCTGACACGTGGTCGTAGGGAGGGGGACTCTCCCTCCAAGCAATAGCCGCCTCCCTGTCCTCCACGCCAGAATGGATTAACGGTAATTACATTGAACCTTATGGGAAAATTTGCTTCGGGTCGCGACCAATGCGGGTCGCGACCAGAGTCACAGAACGAATAAAGTTCATGAACCGGGGTTCCACCGTATATGGGACAGGTTATAGCTATTTCATAAACCCTCTCCTTATCCAACTACCAAACTCAGTGTACTCATTTTCAGAGTTGGCATGTCACCTGAATGATAAATTAACTCTGATGGCCCAACATGCACAGTCTATCTACCCACTTATGTCTGATGAAGAGACCTGGAAATAACTTATTCACATTTTAGCTATGTTTAGTCTTTCCTAAAACTAAACATGTCACCTAACCATGGAGTTAGGAACTTTTATAATGAGTTCCTAACCATAGCTTCTTGGGTTATATTCCCTAGGATAATCATCTAAAAAGAATTAAATTTCAAATTAGCTTCCCAGCTAGTTCTGTGCCATGCCTTTGGAAAAAGAGAAAATATTTCACCCCATATTATTATCTCAAACAGAAAAAAAATTACCCTGCTAATGTGCTAAGGTTTTGGAAATCCCAAGTGAGAGTCAACAAAGGAGTAAGAGGAGGTTCTGGAGTGAATGGTAGAGATATCTTGACATCCTGGACCATGTTCAGTGCCATCCTGCAACTAGATTGAAATCCAAGATGTGAACGAACAATATTTTCTACAAGGCATTCTACAGCCTCTGTCAGCTCCACTAAGCCACCACTTATTGACAAACGCAGCAGTTTCCTTCCTTTACTATTATAATCACAAGAGCTCACAATATAAAATAAGATCATCATGCACGTAAAACTGAAACATCCAGCAGTAAGCTCTCAGAGGTTATTCCAGAAAAATATTAAGCAAGAAAGCTAATAACAATAAGATTAAAAAGATATCCCAGTTCAACAACTTAAAGGGAAACAAGAGCTTTTAATTTTTAGAGTTGATTAAAATCAACCCTGACGCATTTAGCTAACCAGCATCGCTGGCTGGCTCAGAAGCTAGAATACATCGCCTCAAGCTTATATAAATTCGTTGAGTACATCCTCTAAAATGAATCTCTTAGTTCTCTCGCTCGCATAGCAAGACAAAAAGATTAGCCGTGGATAACCTGATGACCATCCAGACGGTTTGGGCTTCGATTTCCATCAGCCCTCACCAGCATAGCGTTGCGGCAAAGGACCCCGGGAGGTGCAGTACCGCTGCTTGCCCCCCAATTCTTGTGAAATCCCTTCTTCCCTCCCAGCCCCCCCCCCCATAAGGCGAGCTTGAAATTCAA